ATTGTGTAGCTTTGTGCATAATTACAAACAAACCGATTGGTTTAATGATGATTGACATTGAAGCAGCTGAATAAATTATCCTCATAATCTTGTTTCAATCAAGAACAAGGCCCGGCATGGCCAGGTGGTTAGGGAACTCGACTCGCAATCTTGTAACTTTGTGCTTAATTACAAACAAAATGTTAATTTTGTTTTCTAACGTTCGGTAAAATTTTATGTACATGCAAATGATGTATGATATTATCTGTAGTATTTCATTTAAAATGTCAAGGTAATCGATGAATCTCCACAATTTAACCTAGGTTTATGTTGTTTGATCATTATGGTATCCTTAATTCATTCGTCCCGAGCTCTAACCATCATGGAACGCTGTTGAGCTATTACTGGTTCATCGCACTGTAAAGCATTTTGGTAGATATTTGAAATATTGTTTTACGAGTTTCGTACGTATTATCCTATATAATCATCTAAATCGCGTTTAGTACACCTTAAATACGCAATTAGCATTTGAGGTATATTAATAAGCTTAAGTATTAATGACATCGATAAAAAAGAATATAGAACTGTAAGCTATCTTTTTAAAAGCTCTAGTGGTTTGACGTAAAGTTTTTCTAGTAATTCGAAATTAAATTGTAAATATGAGATAGTTGTGAAGTTTGTAGGGTGGTTTTCAAGATAGAGAGTGAACCAGTCAGCGTGTCAGCTATCGCAGTTACTTTGTACAACTAAGTTGATTTGGTTTGGGTAGAGGATATAAAGTAATTTATTATTGTTACAGTGAACTGGACGTCGTTGAATTATTTTCACCAAATAAGCTAAAAGAACTCACCAACGAAAAACTACTACGAAAGAATACCTGTAAGACACATTAATTTAGTACTGTTGGTTCGTTTCACTCTCTAATATTATTTTAGAGTGCGAAATATTGAAGAACTTTTAGTCCTAAATATCATATTTTAACTGAGCTTTAGAAGTGTTTCGTATTTGGTTTTGTATATGAATTAAGTAAACAAGGATACAAACATAAAATTAATTCAAGTTCGACCCATTAACATTTTTAAATAACTGCATTGACACACATTTGTCATGGATTTACTGAATATTTATGAAACTAGATTTTTAATATAATATAATATTATTTCTTAATATAAGAAAACTAATTCCGAAGAGACTGAAAATTTTCTTAGACATGATAATGATCATCATTATCATAACGATCTTCTCTTCATGATTATTATCATCATGTCAAGTTATAGTACATCCTATAACAAATTCAAAACGTAGTGTGATTCCAAAGGTCCATGGATTGTGTCTTGTTGCTGCAAAATCGCATTCAGTACTTAGTTTGTTTGTTTGTTTTTGAATTTCGCGCAAAGCTACACGAGGGTTATCTGCGCTAGCCGTCCCTAGTTTAGCAGTGTAAGACTAGAGGGAAGGCAGCTAGCCATCACCACTCACCGCCAACTCTTGGG